GTGTACCGTCAAATCAGATCTGACTGGTACAGGAGGAGATTGTCCCTCCTTCCCCGGCAGAGCATCTGGTGGATTCAAAACGTGCGCCTCTGGGATTGCAGTGCAGCCTCTTGCCACTAGGCCACCAGAGCTAACCTTATATACTTTATTCTTAAAGAAGATACTTTTATTGTAGACTCTTCATGACTGAAATATATCAGACCAAAGAAAATTATAGAATGCAAAGGGCAAAGAATTATTTCAGATACCTTTGTTTAACAAATCTTTTACATCTCAAAACCCTTTTCAACTTTTCCACTAAGGAGAAAGCATTCTTAGCCAATGCTTGAAGACTTCCAATGACCACAAATCTTTACATGCCTTTTTATCTTATTATTATAGTGATTTTTATCTTATAATCATAGTGATTCACATGGAAGAGAGGGATATAAACAAATTCACATGTGTATACAAATATGTATATACTGTTTATTTTGTTTCTAAATGGCTTCAAGGGCTAATGTCAATGATTATCACAAAATCTATGTTTCAGCTCCACTTTGCTCATTTTTAAATCGGAATTAACACAATCAAGCATTCAGAGGTTTTTAAAAGGCTTACTTATCAGAAGCTGTGCTGTTTTCTGCTACTAAACTTTTGTCTTCCCTTCCCCCAACTCCATCTCCCCCGCCCCCCCCAAAAAAAAAGGTTTGCTACTTTCTGGTTACAAGGAACAAAAAGCAAATAATAGAAGTATCATCTGTTTATGTACTTTCTTGTTTTCTTATTCCTGTCCCCAAGGGGAAAGCTTTTATTCCCTGAAGGTTTTCTCCCCCCTTTATTCTTTTAATATTATTTGAAGGCTTATCTAGAATCTTCTTGATCCTTCCTGGATTGTGGCTTATCTATGTCCAGCCCATCCTTCCTATTTCAGAAAGATAGTAAGCAATAAAAGTAATCTTAAACATTATCCAGGATGCTGACCTTTTAGAAACTTCATTTATGTTCTTTCTTTCTCTCTTTTTTTTTAATAAGTGAGCTTATTCATTTGTTACTCATAGAAAATTCTACTTCTGACTGCATTTAGGTTTGGAGGTGGAAGCTCTCAGAGGACACCATTGGTCTCATGGTTATCTGCTCCTGGCATTTTTCTTTGTCCTCCTCCTTTCTGTTGGATGAAAGTTTAGGCTACTCTGCAGCCTCCTCCTCATTCTTCCTAGTGCACTGATTCTTCAGAGAAATGTACCAGTGTTTGTTGCTCTAGGACATATGAACGAATAAAACACTGAATCTTGGGCACTTTGGTCCTGGATTCCTTGCCGCCTTTGTTCAGGGGCTTTCTCACAGTGATGAACTTCATCTTCCTTGGAAAGATTGAAGAGTTTGCGAATTTTGCTAGTTCTTTAGAGCCCCAAGTGATGAGACACAGTAGTTTTAGTCAGTCCTGGGATATCCTTCTCCCCTTTGTTTACAATAACTAAGTTGAGAAGTGAGAAGACTCAGATTGGCATCTACAATACAACCCTGTACAGATTTGCACATCCTCTCTTCAGTTCTCCATGATCTGTAACAGGAGTGCTCCTTACTCAGCAGCAGGCAAACGTGGCCATGAGCAAGATACCCTCCCTGCTTCATGGGAAAACTTTGTCGTTTCCACCACTGTTTTGGACATCATGTCCCTTCCACTTATCACCCAGAGAGTCAGCAGCAACTTCTGTGACCATTCACTTTAAAAATGTTTGACATTTACGTTCATCATCCACTTCAGTGAGTTTTTGACAGCCAATGGCTAGGAAGGAGATGTTCAGCTTCAAGGTGAAGCAGCTGATTGCTCCAGCGGGGCCATGATAAAGAGTCAGATTCTCTTACCAAAGCAGAAGCATCTCTCTTAGCTGACTTCTTCCTCTCCACCCTGTAAGGTTGTGACATAAAAATCAAGGGAGGAAATATCTTTCTATAATTTTATTTCTTGCTAATATGAAATTAAAAGAAGGAATGTCAACTATTTATTATTGGTGTACCTAGTCGATAGGACTAGAATCAGAATTTGTCAGTACTGTACATATCATTATTGTGCATGGCTTCCAAAAATATTTTATAAACTTAAATTTGCTTTTATGTAAAAGCTGCATTCTTTGCTCCTAACTCTTCCCAAGTCTGAGTTTCAAAATTGTAAAAGTATCCATCCCAGCTCTTGTTGCTACATGCTGCTGAATTCATTTCAACCCATACCACCAGACCTTGGTACAACAGAAGGGAACCCTGCCCAGTCCTGCATTATCCTCACAGTTGCTACTATGCTTAAGCCCTTTGTGTGGTCCCTGCAAGCCAGTCCCTAGAGAACCATGTCATGCTGGTAGACAGTTTTCTAAAAGAGAGAACAAAATGACCCAGCTATTCCACTACTAGAAATATACCCCAAGGAGACACAAATGGAAATTTGTACACCTATATTAATAGCAGCATTATTCACCATCGCAAGAACATGAAAACAGCCCAAATGTCCAACCACAACTGAATGGATTGAGAAATTATGGTACCTTCACACAATGGAATATAATGCAGTACTCAGGAGCAACAATTTTAAAAAATACTATGTAACTTGGGAGAGACTGAAAAGAATTATACTGAGTGAACTAATAGTCTCACACGGACAAATACTACCTATGGACCATTATTGTAAAAATAGAAGGATAATGATTAAAACATGTATTGGAATTCATGGGGGGGAGTGGGGGGGTGAGGATAAGTAGGGGCAAAACCACAGGGTTGCACAGTTTGGTGGGAGAGGAAGGGGAGAAAGGATCGGGGCAAAAAGGGTAAATTTCCATTTGTATGTGGCAAATTCTGTTGACAAATTTAGCAGCCTTTGTCTTTCTTTAACAAAGTGTCCATTCATGTTGTGTGCCTCTTTTTTGGTATCTTTAACTTTTTCTTTTAATTTACTAGAACTTTTATTGATATTAAGACTTTGATATCTTAAGTTATAAGAATTTATTCAAAATTTATGATTTATCTTATAGTTCTTTTTCTTTTGCTAATCTAACGGCCCCAGCTATATGGAAGGCGAAAATTAAATGAAAACCCAAGGCAGTAGATTCATAGTCATCACACTTAAGCTATCATTTAACAGAGTCCCCTGTTTTGGTTTTTAATATTACTTCTGTATTATTAATTTGGCAGATTGAAAATGGAAGCCCTGACTGACAGAGAGCATGGAATGATAGACCCTGACAGTGAAGATGAAGCCCACCTTAATGAAGGGCAACCTGCAGAGGAAGCTCTCGGTGGACCTGCTCAGACTGCTCAGCCGGAAGGCTGTTCTCTTCCTTTGAGTCAGAGCAGTGGGAGTGAACTGCCTGCCAGCCAGCCTCAGCCCTTCGCAGCCCAAGGGGACATGGAAGATGATGATGACATTGTCATAGAAGACTATGAAAGTGATGAAATGTAGAAACTAGATGGTCAGGCTAACTGCTGCTCGGCAGATTCATCTTCCTTTAATGTTTTCAGTGGACTATGAACATTAAGACACATTGCAGATGAATTGTAAAACACTGTTAATTCTTCACTCTTGGGAACGGACTCACTGTCAAATGTGAAGGAGGTAAAAGATCAAGCTATCGAATCTCTGAAATATTCCTCTAGTATTTATTTAGTCTTGTGAATGGTATACAAAGAGGATTGTCAGTCTGTCATGTGTGTTTGAACATTATAACAGATAATCAGAAAATGTGAAGGAATGATTCAGAATATAAACACTCTTTGGAGGGTTGTAACTACAAATTATAAAACCAGTTAGGCAGCAATTGGTAGTGTAAATAAATTTTGTGCCTTATTTACAGTTCCTCTATGGTTTCTAGCTTTTGAGGTACCATTTTTTATGTTGTACAGTGAAATATTTCAGATACTTTTGGGGGAAAATTTACATAATTTATATAAAAGTTAAAATGTTGAATTTCATGTTGTTTCTCTGATCTTTTATTAACACCTGACATGCTATATACATTATCTCTGGTAGCACAGTGATTGAGTCAGTCTGAGAGAGAGATATGGTGACCTGTTTCCATAAAGATATTAAAAAAAAAAACACCACAAAATCATTGCTTTCCAGTCAACTCTGAACTCACACCCTATGGGATTCACACGACAGAATAGAAATGCGTTCATTATAAGGCTTCTGAGGCCATCCTTTTTTTTGTTGTTGTAGTTTAAATTTGTGTGTGTGTTTGTGTGTGTGTGTGTGTGTGTGTGTGTGTGTGTGTGTACTATCAAATCAGATCTGACTGGTACAGGAGGAGATGGCCCCTCCTTCTCTGGCAGAGCATCTGGTGGATTCAAACCACATACCTCTGGGATTGCAGTGCAGCTTCTTGCCACTAGGCCACCAGTGCTCCCTTTCAAGGCTGTACATTTTTACAGATGCAAACTGCCACATCTTTTGTAGAATAGCTGAGGATTACAACCATCAGCCTTTTGTCTATCAGTGACACAAGGGCTGGTCTCTGTAAAGGAAGCCTTTGGGTTGTGTTGAAGAAGAGTACTGAATATCCCGTAGACTGCCAAAAGAACATACAGATATCTCTTGCACAAAGTGCCACCAGAGTTCTTTGAAGCAAGAGTGGTGAAGCTTCATCTTACATACTTGGGGCATGTTGCTATTCCTTGCAGAGGGACAGACAGGGAAACTGCGAATGAGATGGATTGACCCAGTGATTATAACAATGGGTACAAGTATGTCAGAGATGATGAGGATGGCACAGGATAGGACAGGATTCAGATTTGTTGCTTGTTGTTTTTATGTGTTTTAAGTCAACTATCACGTATAGTGACCCTATGTATAAAATCTCTGAACCCTGTCCTATCCTCAGCCAGTCTCACTGTTTTTGACACACCTACCCCCATAAGCCCATTTACTGTATCAATGCATCTCATCCAGGGTTTTCCTCTCCTGCACTATTCTTCCACTTTTCCAAGCACGATGTCCTTCTCCAAGGCTTGATCCCTCCTGGCCACATGCCCAAAGTATGTGAGATGGAGAGGAGCTTCAAAATCCTTGCCTCCAAGGAGCAGCTTGGTTTCATTCTGTCCGGGACAGACCAGTTTGTTCTCTTGGCAGTTCATGGTATGTTCAAGACTTTTCTTCAGTACCACATCTCAAAGACATTGATTCTTCTTCTGTCATCCTTAGTCATCTGATGCTTAGTAAGTAATTGTGAAGACCATGGCCTGAGTCAGGCACACCTTAGTCTCTAGATTGCCATCCTTGCTTTCCAGCACTTAGGAGAGTTCCCTGACAGCATATTTTCCTAAAACAATTCATCTTTTGATTTCCTGACTGCTGGTGCCAGGAGTGTTGATTGTGAAACCAAGCAAGCTGAAATTGTTAACAATCTCAGTCTCTTCAGGATCTATGATGATGCTGCCAATTGCCCCAGTGATTTGAATCTTTTTTTTCCTATTGTCCTCTTCAGTTTCAGCAGAGTTGTCTCATCTGAATAATGCAGGGTGTTGATAAATCTTCCTCCATTCTTGATGCCACATTCTTCATAAAGTGTGTATCCTCCTCAGTGTGGCTCATAGGACCGCTAATAGTTATAGTTGTCCCGAGGGCACCTAACAACAACATGAGGCAGTTCTATGCTGCTATAAAAGTTTGTTATGAGTCTAAATTACTCCACATCAATGGATTTTAGTTTAACATACACTACCTTACATCATGATAGACAGTGAAGAAATCAAGATTGTTAACATCTTCAAATTGCTTGGCTCCACAGTCAGCATTCATCAAAAGATTAATTGCATTGGGAAAGTCTGCTGTCAGGGACCTCTACAGTGTACTGAAGAGCAATGATAACAGTCTGGGGACTAAGTTGTGCCTGATTCAGGCCATGGTCTTAACAATTACTTGCTATGCATCAGAAAGCTGGACCAGTGACGAGGGATGTTGTTAGGTGCTGTCGAGTCTAGTATGACTCATAGCAACCATATGAACAAAAGATCTGAAACCAGTCCTGTCCTGCACATCCTCACACTTCCGTACACAGAAGAGCCCATTACAGCAGTCACCACCTCAATCCACCTGATTGAGGGTCTTCCTCTCCTTTGCTGACCAGACCCTCCACCCTTCTCAACATCATATCCTTCTCCAAGGAATAGCACCTGCTAGCAATATGTCCAAAGTATGTTAGGCGAAGCCTCATCATTTTTGTCTCCAAAGAGCACTCTGCCTGCCCCCTCTCCAAGATATATATATTCTTTTTGTCCATCCATGCAATGTTCAGTGCTCTTCTCCAACACCACAGCTCAAAGATAGCAATTCTTTTTCTGTTCTTAATCATTGTCCAGCTCTCAGATGCATAGCTACTAATCAGAAAGACAATGTCTTGAATCAGATGCACCTTAGTCCTCAAACTGACATCACGGCTCAATAATTTGGAAAGGTCCCTAACTGCAGATTTTTTCCATGGCAATGTATCTCTTTTATTTCTTGACTGCTCATACTAATTGTGGATCCAAGCAAGATGAAGCTGTTGACAGTTTAAATCTCTGCATCCATCATGACATGGCCTGTTGGTCAGTGATAAAAATCTTTCTTTTCTTGATATTGAGATGCAGTCCATACTGAAGCCTGAATTCCTTGATCTTCAACAAGTGCATATTTTTTTGCTGTTGAATAGCTAGGCATACAGAAGGAGAATTGATGTCTTTGAGCTGTGGTGCTGGAGAAGTCTTGAATATACCATGGAATGCTAGGAGAACAAACAGATTTGTTTGTTGTTTGTTGTTCTCTCTCTAGGGAGAGGGTGAAACCAGGCTGCTCCTTGGAGGCAAGGATTCTGAAGCTACATCTGACATACTTTGGGCATTTTGCAAGGAGTGGCCAGTCCTTGGAGAGGGACATCATACTTATGAGGGTGGAGGGACAATGCAAGAGAGGAAGAACCCCAGTGAGAGGGATTGACTCAGTGACTGGGGTAATGGTTCTAAGTGTGTCAGAGACGGTAGGTTGGCTCAGTATAGAGCAGGGTTCAGAGCTGTTGTACATAGGGTCACTTATAAGTCTCAAGTGCCTTGATGGCACATAACAACCTTATATCATCAAGATGGATGGAAAAGCAATTGAAACTGTTAAGAACTTCATCTTACTTGGACCTATAATTAACACCCTTTGTACCAGCAGTCAAGAAATAAGGAGATGCATTGCACTGGGAAATCTAGTTAAGGACCTTTCCAAATTATTAAGAAGTAATGATAACAGTTTGAGGCTTTCCTGCCTTCCTTCCTTCCTTTCCTTTCTCTTCGTCTTCTTAGTCTGCTTCATCTTCATCTTCCTTCTTCATCTTCGCTCTCTCATCTCCTTTCTCTCCTCTCTCCCTCCCTCCCTCACCTCTCCTCTCTTTTTTTATTGTGTACTGCTGTGCATGTGACAACCAGACGATAAATAATGATGACAGAAGAATTGATGCCTTTGAGCTGTGGTGTTGGAGAAGAGCACTGAACATGGACAGCCAAAAGAACAAATGTGTATTGGAGAAGATGCAGCCAGAGTACTCTTGGAGGCAAAGATGATGCAGCTTCACCTCACATAATTTGGGCATGTGTTAGGATGGGCTATTTCTTGGAGAGGGACATAATGCTTGGAAGAGTGGAGGGTCGGTGAAGGAGGAGAAGACCACTCTCAACCAGGTGGATTGACAGTGCCACAGTGGGCTCTAGTGTGTCAGAAAGTGTGAAGATGGTCAAGGACAGAGTTCAGATCTGTTGTTCACAGAGTCACTATGAGTCATACTTGGCGGCACCTAACAATCACCACCACCACCTTACGTCTGTTGTTCTCCCACTCTTAGACACCCTCTGTCAGGGTCGGAGTCTGTGAATCCTAGTGGGAGTCTTTCTCCCAGACAACCACTGGAGACGCTGATTAGCAGTGCAACTCGCTGTGAACTAAAGCGCATCTATCTGCATAGGTAATACAGAAGCCGCATTCTAGCAAACTTTTCAAAGAATAGAGAAGAAAGAGTGGCAGCTTTGGAAGAACTCAGGAGTGACCTTGCTATCTTCATGGACAGCTCTCTGGGCTACTCCCAAGGGGCACAGGTGGGGCCCGGTGCTGGAGCTCCAGTTTGACAAAGCCGGGCGGGGCGAAGCTGGACTCGGCCCGCCCCGGCCCGGCCCCGGCCCCGCCCCGGGAGTCCGAGAGGTTTCAGTGCCCGGGGCGGTGCGCGCGCGCTTCCTGCGGACGCACAGGTGAGACGGGCCGTGGTTGCGGTGCACGTGACGCGGGGCGGGGAGGGGCCGGGCTGGGGGCTCCAGTGCGCACGTGAGCGCAGGGGGCCGGCGGGGGACGCGGCCTCCTCGCCCCTCACTCCCGCCGGCCCCTGGGAACCTCCCCGCCGGCTGGCGCTCCCGGCGCAGCCCCGCCATAACCAGCAGCGGAGGCCGCAGCGCCCCAAGCTGGCTGGACGCTGGCGCGGTAAGGCTTGGCGGGCTCGAGGTGCGGGGTCCCGGAGGCCCCAAGGAGCCCTGTGCCCAGCCGGGTTTCATCGCGCCACACAGGTGCGCAGTAGCCGCTACCCTTCCGTGCGCCGCGCTCCCGGCGGGGCCGCGCTCCCCGGTCCCCGTGATCCGGAGCCTGCGCCCTGCCTCCTGACCTGCAGGGCTCTGGCCGGCTTAGTGCTGACTACTTTCAGGTGCGATCGCGAAAGTTTAATGGTGGATTTTTCAGTGACAAACGTAATAGTTCTCCCTTGATTTATGGGAGTGGGCGGAGAAAGTCTGCAGGGACCCGGCGATGATGCTGTGTTATTCCATAGTCGTCGCCAGCTATGGCTTTCCCTACTCCCAGGAACCGAGAAATAGCTGAAATCTGCCTTTTTCTTGGTCCTAGCAAAACTTTGCCGTTAAAGCTGTGGTCCTCTTAAAGGTGACCAGGCATGATTCATGTGAAACTTTCGGGAGCCCTTTCTCCAGCCACTTAGTGCTTTCCAAGATAGGTGTCCTGACCCAATGGAATCCTATTCTAGGGATTTGAACAAAACAAAGACCCACTTTGCCTCAGTATGTTTAACTGAAGTCGGCACTCAATGGCATATCCCATAAGCTGCTCTTAACTGTGAAATTAGAAACAACTGGCCCTCCATTGGGTTTCAGAGGCTGAAATCGCAGGGGGTGGGAGTGGAAATTGCCCGTGTTTCTCTCATAGAGCCAGTGGACTATGCAAACCACCAGGCAGATGTGGCCTTTGGGTTAACAGCGAAATAGGCCACCAGAGCTCCCCTAAAACTTTATTCACTCACTCATTGGTGTGGAGCTGGAATCAACTAATGATTCACCCTTCATTGGGTTTCTGAGGCAGTAAATTGCACAGTAGGAGACTGCACAACTTTCTCCCATGGAGCCTTTGATGGATTTGAACAGCCAGAGCACTGCTTTTGGATCAAGAGCTTGATCCCCTGCCGAGTATGACGGTAGTTGTGTACCCTGAGTTGGAACTGGCTCTCCAGCTGGTTTTCAAAGGCAGTAAATCAAAAGGGAGGAGATTGCTCTTCTTCCTGATGCAGAGCAGCTGGTAGCTTTGAACTGGGCTGTTGTGTTCGTAGATGTCTTCCAGTAGATTGCAACTCATAGCGTCCCTGTGAACAGAAGTTCTGAACTCGGTCCTCTCCTGTGTCATCCTCATAATTTCTGACACACTTGAGCCCATTGCTACAGTCTCTATGTCAGTCCATCTCGTTAAGGATCTTCCTTTCTCAGACTCTCCACCTTTCCCAGTATGATGTCTTCTTCCAAGGACTGGCCCTTCCTGACAACATGCCCAAAGAATATGAGATGAAGTTGTACTATCCTTCCTCTAAAAAGCATTGTCTACACTTCCTCCAAGAAGACTTGTTTGTTCTTTTGTCACTCCGTGATATATTCAGTTCTGTCTGTGAAGAATGCAAAAGATCATTACAAAGGCTGAAGAAGAAGAAAAGACCAAGATGGATGTCAGATGAGACTCTTGAGTATTGCATTAGAGCACTGAGAAGCCAAAGCT